TGGAGTTTTGCTATATAATGAGGCTCTTTACCTGCTCTAGCTTCAGTCTTCTCATCTTTAACCTCCCTTTAACTTCAGCTCCCAGGTTAACCTCTGAAACCATGGCCAAGGACATGACTCTGTGGTGGGGCTCCGGCTCTCCCCCCTGCTGGAGGGTGCTGATTGCTCTGGAGGAGAAGAACCTGCAGGGATACAACCAAAAACTGCTCTCCTTTGAGAAAGGAGAGCACAAGTCGAAGGAAGTCATGGATGTAAACCCCAGGGGACAGGTAGGCTTGCATCACATTCATACCTTTAAACTGCACTCAAACCCCAACCCCCTGAAGTACTTTATATTCACTGTGCAATTACAAATAATAATGCTTAATTTTGAAGTATATATTAATAACATTCATTCTACTTTATCTTAAAGCTTCCTGCCTTCAAATTTGGGGACATAGTGATCAATGAGTCGTACGGTGCATGCTTCTTCCTGGAGGTGAGAACCTTACTTAAAATTTCATGTCACTGAGGAGTTGTTAAGTTGGAGGGCGACTGGTGATTGCATGCTCTGCAATGCTTTGTATAAGCAGACACCCTACACCGCAGGGTGCACTGCACCTCAGAACAGTTGCTCGTTTCATGTGTTTCCGTGTGCTTTCATGTGTTGTTTTCAGTCCAAGTTCAAGTCCCAGGGAACCAAGCTGATTCCTGACTGCGCCGGCTCCGACAACAATTGCGCTTTGATAGCTTTAATAATGCAGCGTGTGTTTGAGGGCAACACACTTCACCAGAAAATGGGTACGTGAACTCTGTCATGGCCTTCTGAACATACCTGTTGAGCTCGATATCCCTGTATGCTGATGTGGACACTGAAACCAGGGGATTTACAGAGTTTATAAAGAAAATCTTATAAAGTTCTTTCTGTATAACTTAGCTGTTGTTGTTGCCATTCAGAGATTTGTCTTTTGGGATTTTAAACAATGCTTGGCAACATCACGCACAAACCTGCAACCTTTAACCCGCTGAGACTTCATGTCTTCAGCAAACCTCCTCAGAGGCTTTGACATCAACTTTCACCGACGTGGTCCGAGGTGTTCAAAACACATGCAACACACAAAAGAGCTGTGCCTTCACTTAAGAGTGTTACATAATGCATTATTTCTCTGGGGAGTAACCCTCACAACATGCTGGGATGTTAATCTCTGCTCAAATTAGCCTTGCAAGTAAATTCCTGAGACAGTGTAGAAATGACACCAGAAAATCCCATGTAACCAAAATGAACATTTGCTTAACATGAACACTCATTTTTAAATAAGCTGCTATAGATGTTATTTGGGTACCTTTTTATAGTCTTCAGCCTGATGTTAGACAGTAATTGTCTGTTCTGATATTTTGTAGCGGATGTTTTTATGTACAACCGGAGGGTCCCGGAGAATGAGAGGCACGAATCTGCCTTTAAGAGACTCAAGGAGACGCTGACTGGCGAGGTGCAGATGTGGGAGGGACACCTGAAGAAGGTATGACGCGCATGCACTCACAAGCACCCAGAGCACGACAGCTACAAAGCTGCAGAAACAGGCAATAACCCTAGCAGGAAGTTATAAGCTGTTGGATGTAATGGGTGCTACCGTGTAAAAGCACTTTGTCTTTTCTTTTCTTTTTATCCCCTTGGTATTTTGACTCATTATAATGATTTAAAGGGGAAAAAAATGTCCAAAACATCTGTTGACAGAGATATCAATTGATGTTGAACATTTGATGTTTACGTTCTTGAAAACACCAACTCACAGTACAAGATTGTGCAGGAAGTCAGTGTAATGTTTATTTAACTAAGCAAGTCATTGGCAAAACCTTCCTATTTACAATAGTGGCCAGACAGCCTCAAGAGGAAATAGAGGCAAGTCAAAAAAAACAAGTACCGAATGTTGACAGTTGGCCGATGCACAGTACTTGGATGATGACGAGCTGATTGTCTGAAGTCTTTTGTTGAGATATGCTCAGCAGCTGCTGTTAAGGAGACAATATATGTAGAAGAATTAGTAAGCCAAGTTTCACCAACTATTTAAAAGATTTTTTTAGCTTCCATCCAAAATCTTTTTTTCTTTGTCTTCTTTTTTTAAGACACCAGGCGGTTTCCTGGCAGGAGAGAACTTCTCCATGGCTGATGTGATTGTTTTTCCAAGTGTTGCTCTTCTCTTACGCATGGGGTAAGTAAGCTAAATTTGCAAAACTGACTTGTAGCTGCCTGGATTGAATAACAAACAGCAACAAACTCACACCAACTTTCGTCTTTCTTGCAGGCTAAGCGAGGATAAATACCCCAAACTGGCAGAATACTACAAAAAGCTGCAGGGCAGACCAAGCGTCAAAGCCACCTGGCCTCCTACTTGGAAGGAGACCCCAGGACAGGAATTTTTAAAAGATATCTGAGACTGAGAAACTCATCAGCTGGCGAGCACATTTTTCCTGTTGCATTTTTAATTTGTTACCCTGTGCTGCTGTGCAGTGGATATTTGAACATTTGTTACATTTGTTACTGAACATGCCATCTTATTTCTGTTGTGCTGTGAGTAAAAGCAATAAAAACTAAGTTTTATTTTTGTTTGCTTCATTATTTTCAAGTTAAATTTCCACCAATAAAATTTGACCTTTGGCGTCAAACCTGGCCCGTCAACGTAAATTTAAAGTTTTGATGCTATTTTTAACGATGTACCACTCACATTAGTGCTGCGTAGTCTTGACAGGAGAGATCACTAAGCAGAAACTTTAAATTAAACTTTTTGCTTTGTTTTCTCTGAAAACATCGCACAATCATGTTTACGAAAACATTTCTATAATTATGCTGCCGTGTCACAGTCAGAGCAGTGGCAAAGCCATCAGATTTTTCGTTGGGGTGGCCAGGCCTTTGCTTACATTGCAGTGGTGCAGAAACTGCTTTTGCATTCATTTTGCAGTAGAAGTCATAGTAATTTCTTTTCTCACCCACTCTTTTGATATGAATGCATATTAATGCCTACATTATAGGCATTTATGTGCAATAACACTATTATGCCTTCAGCTGATCAAAAAAAATCAATAAAACCCTCTAGTGATTGTTGAAGTTATTGTTACTAAAGCTACGATAATTTCAGTGGTGTTGTGCTGCTAAAATATAAACAGGCTTGCTTCAGCAGAAAAGCTTGAATAGCCTAACTTTATAGTAAAATTCCTTTTTATAGCATTTACAAGCTTAAACAAATAAAGCGCAATGAAAGGTCATCATATCAAAAGAGTCCTTTATCTATTGGGTGTGGTGCAACCACTTTTCTCTGCACAAAGGTAACTCAAATGGCCCGTGACAGCATGAGGTTGCATACATGAGGCACTTTGCATTAATCCTTTTCATGTCATTTGTGAATTTCCACTGCTATGTTAAATGCACATTCTCCTTATTAAGGATCAGTGAAAGCTCAGTTTGAAAATGCATTTGCAATATTATTTGGATGAGGTGTCCAAATCTGTCCACCAAGTTTGCTGTGATCACAGTTTAAAACCTCATAGGCCCATTTGGTTGTCTTTCGGTCGGGTGTGTTTTTTGGCTCAGCTGTTTGAAGAGGGAGAGAGCAGGTGATTCAGGCTGCAAGGCTATGGGATAGAGGCTGTGTGAGACACCTGTTACACATTGTCTAACCTGCCTCCATTATTTATTCAGTAGCACACCAGACGGAAGCGGGCTTACAATGAGAAGGAGAGCTGGCAGCAGTTTAAAACAGGCTGAATGGAGTATGGAGGTGACCAACAGGAACAAGGAGAGTACAAAGACCAAAAAGCACAATTGTTTCTGAGTGTGTGTGTTGGGAACCCACAACAATTCTGACTTGTTTGAAACATTGCTGCATGGTCCGTCTGAATATACGCTTGCTCAAAAAAGGAGTGTGTCATGCTACGTCTGCAAAATTAAAATACTGAATAAATGGAAACACAGGAAAGCACATTTTCAAATTCGGCATATGCCTTTTCTTTCCTTTTAGGTGTAGAGAAATCCCGATGCAGCCTATTACTGTTGAAACTTGCACGTAATAATATTGCAGGGCTGCAGCTGTGTGTGTGTGTTACTTGGACAAAGGGACTTCAGTAAAAACCACGAGTTTTGCCTTTCCTCTAGCAATCATTCACTCAGGAAACAGTCCACTGAAACGGACCCAGAAGAGCAGAGATAGTGATCGCAGCAAATGTGTCGACTGTAGCTTATTTCACTGCTATGTGACATTGGCAATTGTTCAAGTGCACTTTGACAAGAATTCAAAGGCTTACAGAATGAAGCACAAAGCAACTAGTATTATATTGTGTATATTTTAGTGCTAGATGAAATTTGTATTTCAAGTACAAAGATACATAAAATAGTTGATATTAGACACGTTCTGAACTAATGCGATTGATGGACGTGAGAGACGTGCCAGAATCGTGTGTGCATTGTGTGCATGTGTGTACAGGGGGTGAAAACAAAGTGCAGAGTCACCGTGAGTTTCAACAAATCAACAGCATTACTTGTAAGAATATATGAATGCACGAAGAACGATCTTTAAGGGTTTAACATATACACATTAGATGGATACCAAGGTTGTGACTGTTGACATGCAACTGTATTAATGAAGCACACACAAGTAACGTGCAGGAATGATGACATCTGAACGAACTGCACGGGAGCACGGCAGCAAAGCACCCAGTGTCACTTTACTCTGTGCACTTGATTTGATCTGAAGGTGAATTGTTTTGTTTGCATTTCCAAACGCTTTTCAACATAAAAATGACAGTTTTGCACACCTGTGAATACGAGCAGCTTTAGATTAAATCACAGTCAATAAATGTAACTGTGCTGCTGCAGAAATCTCTGACTTTCATTATCATGTCATATAAACTGTGGGGTTGTGATGTAAGAGGGTAAGAGATCTCTTGTCAGAAGACCAAAATGGGACGGTACCTAAATCCACCAATCCGGATGTGGAGGGCTGGAGTTTTGCTATAAAACGAGACTGTTTCAGTCGTTGTGGCTTCAGTCTTCTTATCTCTAACCTTCAGTAATTCCAGCTGCCATACTAAGCTGTTCACTCTGAAACCATGGCCAAGGACATGACTCTCTGGTGGGGCTCCGGCTCTCCTCCCTGCTGGCGGGTAATGATCGCTCTGGAGGAGAAGAAACTGCAGGGATACAACCAAAAACTGCTCTCCTTCGAGAAAGGAGAGCACAAGTCAAAGGAAGTCATGGATGTAAACCCCAGGGGACAGGTAGGCTTGTATCACAGGTTTCAATCTGGACTTTGAATGCTTGAACTTGAACCTATTCATATTTTTTCCACTTTGTCTTAAAGCTTCCTGCCTTCAAATGTGGGGACAAAATCATCAACGAGTCCTACGGTGCATGCTTCTTCCTGGAGGTGAGAACTCGAGCAAGGTACTGCCTTGTTGTCAAGGACATAGGTTGTTGGAGGTCAAGTTGAGGGATTACTAGGTTTACCATGATTGTTTGGACATGCACCCTACACTGCAGAGTAAAAGAAACCAGAGCTTTTTGCTGCTCTTTATAACACTTACTGTTTTCCTGTCTCGACCAACAGTGTGAGTACATGTCCCAGGGAACCAAACTGATCCCTGTGAACTCCAGCGAGAAAGCTCTGGTGCTCCAGCGTACCTTTGAGGGTAACACGCTTCATCAGAAAATGGGTATGTTAGCTTAAATCTTCTCTCTGGTTTTGAACCACAAAGACATAGCTGTTGAGTTCCTGCACTTTCACGTCCGATCCCCCAAATTACATTTTGTGAGGTTTTAGTGGGACATGCTCACTCTCTACATGACTTATCTGTTGTTGTTGCCATTAAAAGATCTGCCTTTTGGGATTTTGAGTCAATGATTGGCAACATCACGCACGAACCTGTCACCTTTAAACCACTGATACTTCATGCGTTCAGCAAACCTCCTCAGAGTTGGTTCCCCTGCTCTTCCCGAGGTCAGCGTTGTTCAAAAAACATGCCACCCAAAATAAGTTGTGTGTTCACATAATTAGGCTCTGGCACAATGCACTATTTCCTTGGGAGTAACCCTCACAACAGGATGTTAATCTCCGTTTATCAAAGCAAGCATTTACAGCCTACAGCCTGATGTTACACAGCAATGCACAGACATACCAAAAATACAAAATATGGAAGTGGATGCTGTGCCGTGTGTGGAACCTTTCTTTTTTCTCAAAGCTTTAAATCCTCAGACAGTGGATATATTCATGAAATGTCTGTTCTGATATTTTGCAGCGGATGTTTTTATGTACAACCGGAGGGTCCCGGAGAATGAGAGGCAGGAATCTGCCTTTAAGAGACTCAAGGAGACGCTGACTGGCGAGGTGCAGATGTGGGAGGGACACCTGCAGAAGGTATGTGAATGACCCGCACGCACTTTCACTCTACTGCTACAAGCATCCAGTGCACAAAACTTATACCTACATAGCTTTGTTGCTCTGGCTTTGTGCTCCAACTGCTTTGTAGTGGGAGAAACAGTCTGGGAATTTTTTTCTGAGGAAAGTTTATGTTTTGACACAAACATAATCTTTGCAGGAGGAGGTAAAATCACGTACTTTACACCCAAACAGCCTATTGCACTGTGTTACAGAGATGCAACTCTTTTCTTTAACCAGGCGAGTCAAAGGAAAAAGCTTCCTACAATCTGGCAGATTCTAAAGCCTCTTAAGAAAACTGGGTTAAGGTTAGAAAAACACCAAAAGTTAAAAAACAAAGCAGCAGGACATGTTTGGATGATATTTGGACAAAGCCAGGCAGACTATCTGTACCAAATTTAAACAGTCAATATATACGCTAACACTGTTTGTGTAAAAATCTTACCTAAAAACTTTACTTATCTTTAAATGTAAAGACACACTGTGGAATATTTAGAATCTGAGTTCTGCACTGTTTTCCCCTCACAGCGCTTTATTTTTTTTCTCTTAGACACCAGGTGGTTTCCTGGCGGGAAAGAGCTTTTCAATGGCTGATGTGATTGTTTATCCAAGCGTTGCTCTTCTCTTCCGCATGGGGTAAGTAAGCTATTTTACTAAGGCTGACGTTTAGCTGCTTGGCAAGATGAATGAATGCAATAATAAACAGCAGTGAACTCACCCTGATTTTGATCTCTCCTGCAGGCTAAGTGAGAAACGTTACCCCAAACTGTCAGAATACCATAAAAATCTGAAGGACAGACCCAGCATCAAAGCCACCTGGCCTCCACTTTGGAAGGACACCCCTGGACAGGACTTTTTGAAAGACATCTGAGATTGAGAGGCTCATCAGCTGACAAGCCAATCTTTCCTTGTTGTGTTTTTAATTTGTTACTATTCCTCGTATTTCAGTACAATATGATGAATTTTTTTTTAACATATACTTTTCAAAGACCTTTTTACATGTCCACTTAGGTGGACAACTGATGTGTATGGAGTGACACATCAGTGTCCAATGTAGTGGTTTATTTGCAAGTATACCATTAACACTGACACAAATACAAAAAAAAGCCTTTGAATTGCTGTCCACTGCAGTGACCACTATGTGTGAAAGGGTTAAATCCATCCTGCAGCTGTGCAGTTTTGACAGGAAAGGTCACTAAATCAAAACTTTAACGCTTTACTTGATTGTTGTCATTCTTCTCTTTGAAACTGAGCTTTCCTATCTAGGTAGCAACACTTGAGCAATCACTGTATGGATTTGTAAAGACATCAAAGTCACATTAAATGAAACACTGATCTGTTCTACAAAATCCAGGGGACAAAAAACAAACAAACAAAAATGTTGTGCTTCAAAAAAACAACCTGCTACCCACAGTCCAACTCACAAATTATAAAGATGTTCTACAAACACTAGAATTATATTCAGCATCACAAACAAGTGTGTGTGTGTGTGTGTTTATTTCTTTTTAATTCTTAATGGGATAGCTAGTTTAAGTCCCAGGAGAACAAATGTATCACGGGATTTGAAAGAGAAATGAAAAAGAAGCAGAGATTAAAACATAACATAGGAAACACAAACAAAGCATAGAGAGACAGAAAAAACAGAGACTACAGAAGGGAAGACAAAATGTATTCACAGAATTTTTGAGTTCCCAGTTGGAAATTTTATCTGGAACACCCCCTTAACCTGGATTTTTCATTTGGAACGTTTGAGCAACTCCTCCACCAGGAGGTTAACAATCTATAATGCTGGCAGTGAATGTAACCTCTCATTTAAACATTATTGTTAGATTATGGCAGTTTTAGGTATTAAAATGCTATTGAACTTTCGGGCGCCAGAGGGTGCATAGTGCGCTGTTGGTATCGAGTAGTGTTTTGGGGCACAGAGGAAGAGTAAAACTTCCTGTTATGAAGCTCAACTTGTGTACTGTTTCTACTCTTTATCACAGCATTATACGTTGCTGGCAAAGGAAACCAGTTGCCCCTCTGACCACCAACTTAGGGAGACAACAAATTTGGGCGCTTGTCCGGTATTAGTAGTAGTAGTAGCCGTGGTAGTCAGGTGCTGATCAACTAAGAACCGTGGGATTCATGTCCCTATGCTTAACAGCACTACTATCCAGAGCGACAGACTTCAGCTATCCAGGCATGGCCACTTGGCACGACCTACAATGGGAGATCCAGCAACAGCTTAATCAGCTGACCAGTGGCTCCAACTCGGAATTACTCCATAAACTTGCAATATCATGTCAAGAAGAAGAGGTGGAAAATCTTCCTCGTGATGACATACTGTATGTTCCATTATTTGAGGTTATGGATGTTATTTGACTGGAGGCATAACTCACAGACACACGAGACGCGCCATTACTCCAATGAGTGTCCTTTATTATTTTTCATCCCCCCCACAACAACAACCCAGCAGAAACGTTCCTACCACTTAACATTTACCTGATACTACATCCCCCCTACTAAATAGGATGTGATGCTGGAATATAACCAAGAAAACAGATTAGACCCGCACGCTTTAAAGTATACTATTTCCTTGTGCTTTATCTGGTAACAGCTTGTTTACTGAACTCGTTTGGTTTCAAACCAGACTACTCAGAATGTCCAAAAATAAACTCTCAAAGTATACAACTCTGAACACTAAGCATAAGTGCACATTTCTGAACTATCTGATGCAGCTACAAACAACATGTTTAAACAGTGCAACCATTTGCTTTATTTCTCATTGTCTCTATGAGGGATGGTGTAGACTACCCAACCCTCTACCTGAGTGTGGGGATTATTCTGCCCCATTGCTCACTCAGTTCCTAGCCCTATGAGCAAACATAGTCTTTTAGGTATGCTGGAGGCCTCCTAGACCTGTGTGGGATTTGGCTCCCAGCTTCAGGAGTCTGCTGGCTGGCCTCCTGTGAGATAGTGTCTGGAAACGACACACTCTGTGCAACTGGAACAGAGTTCTCAGGTGAAGCCTCTGGTGGATCGCCAGAAATCTCTGGTGCCCCAGGTCTCGACAATGTAGGACCTCGGTGAGCCTGCCATGGACACAACTGTCCCTCTAGTATCCATGTCTGAGACTCACACTTTGTCTCCAGGATTGAGCTGTAGCATATCATGTACTCTGTGTCTGCAGTTGAAGTTTTGTCTTTGTTTTTGTCTGTACGTTTGTTCTATAGCTTTAAGCTTGTCTGTGTCCGTACCTCTTGGATTTAGCTGTGATGGGATGACAGGAATAGTTGTCCTTATCCTTCTACCCATGAGAAGCTCAGTCGGGCTGTAGCCATTTGCCAATGGAGTAACCCGGTATGCCATAAGGGCGAGATAGGGATCGCCAGACTTTTTAAGAAGACTTTTGATGGTCCTGACTGCCCTCTCGGCCTCCCCGTTGCTCTGAGGGAAGTGGGGACTGGATGTCTCATGGCTAAAACCCCATTCTTGTGCAAATCTTTTGAAGGAATCAGATGAAAACTGAAGTCCATTATCAGAGCGAACCTGCTCTGGTATGCCATGACGTGAAAAGATTGATTTACAGTGCTCGATCACTGCCTCTGATGTTGTAGATGTCAGTTTGGCAACTTCGAAGAATCTGGAAAAGTAATCCACAATGACCAGGTACTGTTTATTCTCTATCTGGAACAGATCAGTTCCAACCATGGCCCACGGTCTTTGTGGGAACTCGGTAGGTAGCATGGTTTCTTTGTGGTTAGTCCGCTCACGGCAGCAAGTGTCACAGGTCCCAATCACTTTTATCAGCTCACTGCTCAGGCCTGGCCACCAAACAGATTGTTTAGCTCTCTCTCTGCATTTTGTTATTCCTAGGTGTCCCTCATGTAGTTTAGACAGAATGTCTGCTCTGAGTGATGTGGGAATCACTATTCTGCTCCCATAAAGAAGCAAACCATTGTGGACTGTGAGGTCACCTGAAAATGGCAGATAAGGCTGGAAAACCCTTTCGATGGAGTACTTATCTGGCCATCCTTCCACACAGAACTTCTTCAGCTGGCTTAGAATGCTGTCATTGTCCTGATGTGTCTGGATTTCTCTGAGTCGTGGCTCTGTGGCTGGCAGACTTGCTATGACGGACTCCACATACAAGTTGATTTCTTCCTCCGGCAAACCCTCAGTTGTGTCACATGCAGAAGCTCTGGACAGTGCATCTACTGTTGCAATGTCTCTACCAGGAACATGAGATATGGTATAAGAGAACCTCATCAATCACATGCGTAGACGTTGTATATGAGGTGGAAGCTCATCCAGGCCCTTGGAGCCAAGCAACGAAACCAGAGGTTTGTGGTCTGTTTCAATGTGGAATGTTTTCCCAATTAGGAACTCTGCAAACCTCTCACCGGCCCATGTTGAAGCGAGCCTCTTTCTCAATTTGAGCATATCGCTGCTCTGTCGCGCCGAGAGCTCTTGAAGCGTATGCTACTGGTTTCCACCGTAAATCAGCGTGCCGCTGGAGAAGCACTGCTCCCAAGCCATACGAAGATGAGTCAGCTGATACACACGTTTCAGCACTTGGATCATACAGAGCAAGCCCTGGGGGTGTTGTCAGTTCTTTTTTGATGCCGTCGAAAACCTGCTGCTGCTGTGGCCCCCATGACCACAGGTTGGACTTCTTCAGCAGATCTCTTAGGGGGCGCGTTTTTTCCGCCAGGTGAGGAAGAAACTTTCCTAGGTGATTCACCATGCCCAGGAACTGTCTGTCCTCACTTATGTTGCTGGGCTCATCCATGGAACTCACGGCATGCACCTTGTCAGGACCTGCGCTAACCCCCGATGCCTCAATGACCTGCCCCAGGAACTTTATCCTGTTCTTGGAGAACTCACACTTGTCGTTCAGTGTTACTCCAGCCTCCTGTAGTCGAACCAGTGCTTTTCGAAGTCTCTCATCATGCTCTGCTTGTGACGTCCCCCAGATGAGCACATCATCCATCTGACAGAGAACTCCTTCTAAGCCCTCAAGAACGTTTCTGGAAGTGTTCTGGGGCTGATGAGATTCCAAAGCACAGACGATTATAACAATACCGACCAAAAGGTGTAATAAAGGTCGTGAGCAAAGAAGAGTCCCTGGATAAGGGAATCTGTCGAAATCCTGCATTGGCATCCAGCTTTGAAAACACTTTTGCTCCTGCAAGCTGTCCTAGTGTGTGTTCTACTGAAGGGAGTGGAGGTTTCTCTCTCATGACATATTTGTTTAGTTCAGTGAGATAGCTGCATATTCTCACCTTGCCTGTGCGCTTAGGAACCACCATCATAGGCGCGCACCAATCAGTGGGCTCCTCCACCTTGGAAATGACACCCTGCTGCTCCATCC